TGTGTGTGTGTGTGTGTGTGTGTGTGTGTGTGTGCAATTTATGATGGAAAGTAGTTCGGGAAAAGCAGTAAAACAATAAAAACGAAAAAATACCGTAAAATATCCGACATTCACATGAAGAAGTATAGTCTGATACCTGAATGATGAATACTGACAGGCAATTTCGAAAAAGAATGATGAAAATAACGTGGAATTCACTTTTAAAAATTTGTTTTACTCAAATAAGAAATAATTGTTGAAATTTGATCATTTTTTTTTCAAATTGTCTAATTCCTTAATTGATAGCAATTTTTTTTTGTCATTGAAATTTAATAATTTAAATCACTAATTAATTTATTTATTCAATGAGTAATCTCAATCATATCTCTTTGATTTCTCACTGATAATTTCTCTTCCATCTCTTAACTATTTCTTTCTTTGTATATGACATTTAATTATGCAATACCTTTTCATGTCCTTCTTTTTTTTTTTTTTGCTTATATATATTTTGGTAAATAAAGTTAATTGAAAAAAAATTTGCATGACAAATGAAATTTTCGACTAATGTATATCATTTATTATTATTGCGCCAACAAATCGTTAAACAATGATAAGTAAGACGAGGGTGGATGGAGGAGAGATGAAATTCACTTTTAACTATCCGTCGAGATCTAGAAACTCATTAATTTTCAACTAATTTGTCCCACTATCCTTTCTAAATGTTAAAGTTCCAATTTTGCTATGATGCTTTGGCAGGCTATAAAACGATGGAAGCATAGCTATTAAAGTCATGGGCTTCCTTCTTTTCTTGACCTTTCACCATTTTTTTTTGTTTCAAAATAAGCGTTTAGTTGAAGTATGAAATGCGGTAATGGTTAGAAGGAAAACAATGCAGCATAACTGTAACATATAATTAAGGAATTCTCATTTTCAATTTAAAGTTTAAAAAAAAATTTATTTAGTAGTAAATCAGCAAATCGTTAACCGTTAATCAAAAAAAAAAACTAATGATTGTCGTAGATTGTGAATTTTTTAGTTGCTCCTAAAATAGCATATGATATTACCATTGCAAGTGACCTGACATAAATTTCAACAATTTCAAGCTTTATTTTACATTTCAACATTGACAGAAAGTCTTTTATTTTATCCATTTCTTCTCTCAATGATCAATGAAGCATTTAATTAAGAGGGAAGTTTTGAAATATGCAAAAATTATATTGCTGAGAAACATTCCCATTCATTTTCAATCATTTCTCGTTGCTAAAAAACTGGATTTATCTTATTTAATTTTTCACTAACAATGCTTACATTCACAGATGTCAAATATAATTATATGTATCTAAAAAAAAAATTTTATAACTGTTAATTTTTAGGTCAATAATTAAAAAATTTTGAATTATTCTTAATCATTGTGCCACGGAAATAACATAAAAATATGAATGGCGTAATTTAAATTGAATAAGTCAGAGTGAAATTTTTTCCTGCATATTTATTCCACTTTTTTTCTTTTGTCTCATCCGAAAGTATTTTTTTAAACAATAAAGAACTGATAATATTTTCTCAATTTATTAAAAATTACAATTAATTTAATTCTGGACAATAAAGCTTAACAAAACTATGATCATATTCATGATCCAAAATTGTTTTCTAAATCTAATAATAATTAATAATTTTAATTAACCAAAATGCTTTAACAGTTGGAGCAAAATGTAATCATATAACGTCTAAAATTAAAAAGTAATTGGTTTCCGATTAAAGAAAGATGAAGAAAAAAAGTGGAGAGATAGAGATAATTTTTCTTGATGATTTATTTTACTTTTTTCTTTTGCAAATTTATTTTAATAAATTATGATGAAAATATTTGATTAGTCAATATTCATACACATTTGTTAACTAATAAAAAAAATTTTTGCTCTTTTCAATGATAAATAAATTATCTTTTTTAAAGTATAATTTCAGCAGTTATTGTATGTTAGAAATTTACATACATGTATTATTTTAGATTATGTATTTCATAGTAATTCTAAAATAGAAATGTTTCTGAAATTATTTCATAAGAAAGCATGAGGGAATTCTAATTGGCCATATTGAATGGGACCAATTGAAATTGTAAAATGTTTTTGAGAAATAATGAATTGCGTTTTTTTTTAATTTTTTTTTTTTTTTTTTTTTGTTCTGCAACTAAGAGAAATATGAAAAATTTAATTGGATCCTAAAATTTTCTCATTTAGTTCGAATTTGCATTTGAACTCGAACCAAAATACCATACCCATTCAGCTCAGCGAAATGCTACTTCCTTTTGATTCTGATTTTGCTTTCAACTAATATTCAAATTTCATTTTTTTTTTTTTACATGACTTAACAGTTCATCATTTTTTCTTCCTTCTCACTCTTATTAGCCTTTTCAGAGGAGCATTGCCATATTTATATTTTTGATATTTATATCTAATAAATTTTCAAAATGCAAAAATTCTAAGGATTATGTTTTAATTCAAAAAAAAAAATATGTTTTTTTTTTTGAAATCTCGATATAAATACCTAGTTTTATTGCTGTCTGTTTGATAAGATGAGAAATGAAGAATTGATTGATTGTTAACGGTACAAATCGGAAATTATTTTGATTTGTGAATTGATGAGATGAAAATATTTTGTCAGCCAGTTTTTAAATTCATCTCCAGAGGATTGAAGCACGTTGTTTGGGACATAAAATTTTCGATATTCGTCAAAATTCTCTTTTTTTTTTTTTCCTTTCAAATTACAATCGAATAGTTGCCGTATTGATGTCGTTATAACGGGGAGAGAAAATGTATTATGAAATTGAAATTGTCCAAGTTTTTCTTAATTTTATTAAGAAATTTACTTACGAAAGCATCTCCATTTTTTCCATTTTAATTTTCAGTTTTACAGTCAATTTCAAAATAATTCTTTGTTTTTCTTTTTGTCAATAATGTTTCTTAATTCAAAAAAAAAAAAAAAATTTCTTACCAGATGCAGTATAAAATTTTAAATTAAAAAAGGTTGCATAGTATTTCAATAAATATTATTCCTGGTTTATTTAATTGCTTATTTTTCAGAGATAGTTTTTTCATCAAATTTTGAATCAACGTATAGTTAGACAAATCAACGTATAAAATTTTTTCATCCACTCAAAAATTAGAATCAAAAAAAAAAAAAAAATTCATTGAATGATTTCTTTTTTTTTTTTTCCTGCTAGAAAAGGATCAAAGGTTTGATGTAGCTATTATTCTCAAACGTTAACACAATTAGTGTTCCATTTTTACTTTCGAGAAATGAAATAAGTAGAAAGAAATATTTATATTGATAGGATAAATATTTTATTGGTATATGAGTGTAATTATTACATACATGCAAATGATCACATGAACATTTCCATCTATCAATTGATCATACTGATATCCATATCTATCAAATGACCAAATGAATATCAACATTTACCGAGTAACTACACTGATTTCCCACATGATCACAATGATTGTACACATCTACAACATTTCTCTGTTGCTTTAATATGACCTTGACGTACTTTTTTTTCTTTTTTTTTTTATAGCTCAGATTTTTCTGATCTATGCACCTCAATGTGAAATATTGGCCTATCGATGATATGCACAATTCCAATAGGCCATCACTGATCGTCATTGTTATACCACATTTCTTATTCGAGAAAGCGGGCGGAGGAGAATGAGGAGGCCAAACACACACACACACACACACACACACACA